AGACTCTATGGTTTAGATTTCTTGTCATCAAGCTGTAAATTTGGATCATGGTTGTGGCAAAAACTACTCAAAACCGGAGACCAAGTTCAGAACCTACTGGAGGTAAAAGATGGTCAAAGGAGCTGGAATTGAATGTGTTGGAAATAAATAAATTATTTTCTTTAGTAATTTGGTGGGCACGTTTATGGGCTAAGAAAATGGAATTTGGATTTTTATATATGATGGCCACGTTTTTACAAGGAAAGAAAGTTTTGGGGTTTTTATGATTGGAGATTGGAAGAGGACTTTTTTTTTTAGGAAGAGTGTAGGCGGCAGAGAAGTGATGAGAATTTCACTTGTCTTTATTAAGAGGCTTATTTGTTCTTTTTGCTCTGCTTTTCAAACTTACATGGACAAGCATATTTATAGGCTTCATTCTCCTGAACACTCTCCCACAACCGACTCAAACATGTGGTTCTTGTTTTTTTTTTTTTTTAAATCCATAATCATACAACTACCCAACTAACACATTTAATTCATTGCTGATTTTTTTTCTTCTTCTCCAGCAGAATCCACACTCATCTACTAGCTTCTAGGATGTTTAGATATTTTTTTTATTAAACTTTATTTAATTTCAACACTCCCCCTTAAAGTTTAATTAGTCGTAACTCCGAGTAGCGTCCTCATCTTGACGAACACATCTTGCTTTAGCGGCTTCGTGAAAATATCAGCAATCTGGTCTTCAGTCTTCACATACTTCAGCATCACTTCTTTCTGCTCCACGCACTCTCTCAAGAAATGATATCTTGTATCAATATGCTTACTGCGATCATGAAACACCGGATTCTTTGCTAACGCTAGGGCAGACTTGTTATCCACATAAATTTCATTTGATTCTTCCTGTGCCATGTTCAATTCCTTCAGCAATTTTCTCAGCCATATTGCATGACACGCACACGATGTTCCAGCAACATACTCAGCTTCACAAGTTGACAGTGTCACGATAGCTTGCTTCTTTGAACTCCATGTGAAAGCTGTATCTCCCAGGAAAAATACAAATCCTGTAGTGCTCTTGCGATCATCGACGTCTCCTGCCCAATCACTGTCGCAGTATCCAACCAATTTGAAATTTTCCGACTTAGTATAAAGCAGACCATGATCGATTGTACCTTTGATGTAGCGTAATATCCTCTTTGCAGCATTCCAGTGTGACATAGTTGGTGCCTCCATGTATCTGCTGACTAATCCAACTGCGTAGAGAATATCTGGTATGGTACAAGTAAGATATCTCAGGCTTCCGACAAGGCTTCTAAACTCCGTTGAGTTGACCTTCTCTCCTTTGTCATCCTTTGATAGTTTCAGTCCACACTCAGCTGGTGTACTCACAGGATTACAATTCTCCATCTTAAACTTCTTCAAGACTTCCTTTGAGAAGCCACTCTGTGAGATAAAAATTCCTTCCTCCTTTTGACTTACTTCAATACCGAGATAATATGACATCAGTCCGATGTCTGTCATCCCAAACTCACGAACCATCGTCTTCTTGAACTCTTCAAACATTTGAGGATCGTTGCCTGTGAAGACAAGATCATCTACATATAGGCAAACCATCAAGATTGCTCCCCCTTGCACCTTGCAGTATAGTGCATGCTCATGTGGGCATTTGCTGAATCCATTCTGCTGAAAATACTTGTCAATCCTGCTATTCCAAGCTCTCGGTGCTTGTTTCAGACCATACAATGCCTTCTTCAGCTTCAACACCTTATCTTCTTGACCTTCGACGATATATCCAGGTGGTTGCTCCACATAGATATCTTCCTCGAGATATCCATTCAAAAAAGCTGACTTCACATCCATTTGATGTATCTTCCATCCATTTTGAGCAGCGAGAGATATCACCATCCTGATACTCTCCATTCTTGCTACAGGAGCAAAAACTTCATTATAGTCAATGCCTGGTCTCTGACTATATCCTTCCACCACCAATCTTGCTTTGTGTCTGACAACTTCTCCTTTAGCATTCTTCTTTACTTTAAATACCCACTTCACACCAATGGGCTTCTGGTTCTCAGGTAGTGATACAAGCTCCCAAGTCTTGTTCTTCACAATTGCTCCAATTTCTTCATCCATGGCTCTTTTCCATTTTTCATCCTTCATGGCTTCTTCAACATCAACTGGTTCACTATCAATGAAATGACAGTAGAGTGTCAATTCATCACCTTCAATGGTTGTCGTTTCCTCATAAATTTCTTCAAGTCTCCTATACTTCTGTGGCCTTTCTCGGGGACTTTCACTAGATTCTTCTTCTGGGCTGGCAGGCTCTCTGTGACTGGGTGGACTAGTCACAGGTGTAGATGTATCTGGTTCATCATCACTTTCATCCATAGTGAATGGATAAAAAGTGTAATTCTTCTTTGCTTCAGCAGTCCAATCCCATGTTGCTTCTTCATCAACTACCACGTCTCTGCTGATGATCAACTTCTCTTCCACGGGATCAAACATTTTGTAACCTTTTGAGTGTTTTGAGTATCCCAGAAATATGTACTTCTTGCTTTTGTCATCCAACTTCTTCCTTTCTTGATCCGGTACATGCACATATCCGACACTTCCGAAGACTCGGAGGTGAGAGATTGTGGGCCTCCTTCCGCTCCATGCTTCTTGGGGTGTTTGATTCCAAAAACTCTTTGTTGGTGACCTGTTCAGCAAGTAGACTGCACAATCAACAGCTTCAGCCCATAGCTCCTTTGGCAGGTTCTTGCTCTTCATCATGCTTCTCGCCATGTTGAGGACAGTTCTGTTCTTCCTCTCAACGACTCCATTTTGCCGTGGGGATCTTGGGACTGTGAGAAACCTGCGAATTCCTTGATATTCACAGAACCTTCTGAACTTCTTTAGCATAAATTCTCCCCCTCTATCTGATCTCATTGCTTTGATGTAGCGGCCACTTTCATTCTCCACCATCATCTTGAACTTCTTGAAAGCTTCAAATGTGTCTGACTTCTGCTTTAAGAAGTATACCCATGTCTTTCTACTGTAATCATCAATGAACAATAGAAAATATTTGTTCTTTCCGAACGATGTTGGGGTGATCGGTCCACAGAGATCTGCATGGACGAGCTCAAGTGGTGCTTTAGCTCTTGACAGGGACTCCTTCGGGAAACTTGCCCTGAATTGCTTCCCAACTAAGCAACCTTCACACAATTGGTCCGGATGATTGATCACTGGCAGACCATGCACCATTTTCTTCTGACCGAGTAACTTGAGACCTCCAAAATTTAGATGGCCATACCTCAGATGCCATAGCCATGTATTATCCTTCAGACATGCTTTCAAGCATTTCGCTATTTCAGTTTGAATGTTCAGCGTGAACATTCTGTTTCTCGACATTGGGACTCTGGCCAACAACTGCTTCTTCTCATTTAACATCTCCAATTGACGATTCACCATATGAACTTCATAATTTTTCTCCATCAGCTGACCCAAACTCAGGATGTTACTAGTCATGTCTAGGACATAGTACACATCACTGATAAATTGTTGTGAGCCATTCTTCAGTCGGATGAGTATAGTTCCTCTGCCTTTGATAGGAATCTTCGAGGAGTCTCCAAATACGACATTTCCTTTCACTGACTCATCCATATCCACGAACATATTTCTTTTTCCACACATGTGGTTGCTCGCTGCATTATCCAGATACCACATGTTGTCTTTCGGTTTCTCATCTCCTTGATGTGACAGCATCAATGTACCTTTGACTTCTTCTTGCACGTTGTTTGCTGTCTCCTCCACTTCTTTAGGCAGAATCCAACATTCTGATGCATAATGCCCGTTCTTCGAGCAATTATGGCACTGGACGTTGGATTTATCACGACCTTCATTGGATCTCCAACTTCCTCTTCCACGTCCACGACCACGACCTCTGCCTCTAGTGGACGTTTCATAATTGTTCGTGATAAAATTTCTTCCGTCTCTGCTTTGATATGCTCCTTGGGCTCTTCCTCTGCCTCTGTAGTTGCCTCTGCCTCGACCTCTGTACTGACCTCCTCCTCGGGCACCTTCTTTCTCCTCAGTGGTAGCTTTTGTAGCCAACACTTGTTCTGATGATTCTTCATTTCTTTTATTTAGTCTTTCTTCTCTGGTTTGTAATGAACCGATGACTTCATCATCATTTTTGACACGTCCTTAGCTTCCTCCATGGCCACCACCACATAGTCAAACTTTGGTAATAATGACCGTAGATTCTCCACCACTTTGGTCTCTTCAATTTTCTCCCCATACTGCTTCAGTTTGCTGACGACAGACTTCACACGGGTGGTGTAATCTGAAACAGATTCACCTTCCTTCATTTTAATAGCTTCAAAATCTCCCCTTAGTGTCTGAAGTCGAACCTTCTTTACTGGTTCTACGCCTTGCATTTCCTTTTGCAAAATCTCCCATGCTTCCTTTGTTGTGGTAGCATCTGCTATTTGATCGAACATCGATTCATCAAGACACTGATGAATGAGAGTGAGTGCTTTCTGATCACTCTTTCGATTCTTTCTCAACACCTCCTTTTCAGCAGGAGATAACCGAGAATCCTCCACGGGAATCTCGTAGCCTTTTTCGACAATATCCCAAGCATCTTGGGATCCAAGCAAGGCTTTCATACGAATGCACCAATTTTTATAATTGGTTTTGGTAAGGTGGGGGAATTGAATGGGGAAAGTGGATTTTTCGGCCATGGGACAATCGTGATAACAATAGCACGAGAAATTCTTTTCTGATGTGAAAGTTCAGACTACGCCGCAACCACAGAGCATACTCGGAAATGACTCGGGCTCTGATACCACTTTGTTGGAAATAAATAAATTATTTCCATTAGTAATTTGGTGGGCACGTTTATGGGCTAAGAAAATGGAATTTGGATTTTTATATATGATGGCCACGTTTTTACAAGGAAAGAAAGTTTTGGGGTTTTTATGATTGAAGATTGGAAGAGGACTTCTTTTTTAGGAAGAGTGTAGGCCGCAGAGAAGTAATGAGAATTTCACTTGTCTTTATTAAGAGGCTTCTTTGCTCTTTTTGCTCTGCTTTTCAAACTTACATGGACAAGCCTATTTATAGGCTTCATTCTCCTGAACACTCTCCCACAACCGACTCAAACATGTGGTTCTTGTTTTTTTTTTTTTTAAATCCATAATCATACAACTACCCAACTAACACATTTAATTCATTGCTGATTTTTTTTTTCTTCTTCTCCAGCAGAATCCAGACTTCGTGCCAAAAGGAGCAAGAGTGAGTTGCTATAATCTGGTCTGGAAGACCGCAAAAATCCCCAGAAATTAATTCCTTAGGTGGTTTATTATAAAGGGATTCATATCAACTAGTGATAAAATGATTAGTTGGGGGTTTTTAGCGGATCACAACATGTGTGTACTACCCCTACAGACTCATAGCCATCTTTTTTGAAGAATGTAATAGATACAAGGCTCTTTTCTCTACTTTGCTCTCTAAATTCACACTAAGACAATCTGCTGATCTTTGGTCTGAGGAGGTGAAGTGGGCAAAAGTTCTTTTTCTAGTTTTGTCAGTCATTCAAAAGCAGGGAGACTTTTATGGCAATCAATGATCAGCAATATGTGGAAGATACGTTGCACAACAAGATTTGGAGGAAAAGCTCCTAGTGTTGAAGGAGTCCTCAAACAGATCAAAGATGAGTTGGCTACTCATGGTAGTGAAGATGAAGTTGCAGTTTACTTACAATTGTAATCTCTTCTTATTTTCTGGCTCTTAGTACTTGGCAAATCAGATAGTGTAGATAGCTTAAATAACAAGGCAATATAGTGCTCGTAGTGATTGACATGTCGTCACCTTAATTAGTGGCGAGGGGTGTTGCCACATAGTACTTTTTAATGATAATGCAAATACGCAACCATTTGCTGACAAGTTGGTATGACCTCGTCATTTTGTAATATTCATTTATCTTTATGAGATTGTTATGGTACATATAATTGTGAGTCTGGTCACTTTGACACGAAAGATTCAAAAAATATGAATATATGTGGGAATATATGAAGTCTAGTTTAAATGATACTAGGTGGCGATGCCGCGCCTTGTCGCAGGACGGAGATGGTCTATGAGCTATGGCCATGTATTATGTGGCCCATTATAGTATTTTTTAGTATTATTAGCCTAAAATTAATTTTCTGTTAGCAGTTTTTGTTAGTAACATTGATTCGACAATAATTGCGGTCAACATCTTATTTAAAAAAATTGAAAATTTTGACTAATAAATGATATGTACCTAAACCCAAGTAGACCCTTTGATTATGGGTAGAGTATGAGTGACGTACATATGAGTTTGGAAGTTTATAGATGGGTTTGGGTATGATATGAGTATTTACCAATGTTGTCAGAACCGAACCGGAGTATGACCCGAAAACGTGAACGACTCGGTCTTTAGTGGTACAGCCGGCATTAGACTGTTTAAAAACCGTTTGAGAACCGATACCTAATAAACAGTCATCTGTATAAATGGTGGATACTTCTTAATCATGGTAAATCACAAGTAAATTACTCTTTTAAACAAGTAAATCACTAGCAAATGTCCAATTGTAAATCTAACAAGTAAAAAAAAATTTGCTAAATGGGACAAGGAAAAGCTCACGGCAGAAGCATAAACCATTACAAATTTTAAATGGGACAGCAGCAACATAAACCATCTCTCAAACAATTGCTCAGCTCGGCATGCTACCCTAATGCCAAAAAAAAAAAATTTGCTCACAGCAGCAACACAGTCACAAACAATTATCGGTGCAGGGGAGGGCAGCAGGGGTCGGTGCAGAGGAGAGGCAGCAGTGTCCGGGGAAGGGAAGGGATACCTCACTGGGGCACTCGCCAGCAGGGGCTCGCCCAAATCGGAGGGCAATGGCGACAGGGAACAACGCTGGGGAAGATGGCGATTTGGATTTTGGACTGGCGACGAAGACGGCAAATTGGACTGGCGCTGGGGAAGACGACGATGGAGACGGGGAAGCGCTGGGGAAGATGGCGATGGAGACGAGGAGCGGCGCTGGGATTTGGACTGGAAGCGGCACCTCCTTCGTCTCCACGAAGACAAGATGGACAAATCGAATTAGGGTTGAGAGTTCAGACAGCCCGACCCATCCTTCCCCTTTCATTTTAGTTTTTTAACATCTTTCCTACTTCCTAGTCCTAAATCCACTACTTCATGCACTCGTGGATGGATAATACGAATATTAGGTTGAAACAGTACGGGTGAAGTCAATTGTACCTATTCTCCAATTGTAGTGCTAGTTCCAAAAGAGTTGTCTAGGCGATTAAAAAAGTAAGTGTCACTCATGTTTAAAGACATGTTAGTTATGTCAGGAAAGAACCCGCTCTTTTAATTAGGATTTACCTAGATTGTCAACTCGTGGGTCGATCCACTTTGATTCTGACCAAGTGAGAAAAGCGAGTTGTACGCACCCGTCGGGTCGACCGCTACAAGGTACCGGGTTGGAGGTCAAATTGTGTCATTTTTTTTTTTGTTTGCGAAATGTTCCTATTTTCCAATTTTCCTTTTCTCCTAATTTAATCTTTGGAATTCTAAGTTGAACATTTGAATATTAATGTTATATAAGTGTGTGTGAATTTTCACTATATGTTGGATCTAAGTACGACATGTTATTTTGGTGGAATATTATATGTAATAACTCATATGTTATATGAGATTTGATATAGTTTATCAGCAGAATAAGTACAATATAATAAATATTTCCATATTTTCATGTTAAATTGAACTAAAACGGGTGACCCATTAACCCTTGACCCACTAGCTCGACCGGATCCGGGTCCGGGTCCGCCCGCGGGTTGAAAACTTTGGGATTCACCTAGTTATTGATTCTCCATTACGGTTTCATACTCAAAAGAAATATATAGAAGAATGGTAGAGTACTGAAGAATGGTATTTGTATCTCACCGAACCAACAACTCGAAGCCTCCATTAAGTTTTTCTTTTCTCTGCAACTTTAGATGTAGGTGTAGTTTGGAGTTCTCATCAAACTTTCATAAAAAAAGAGGATTATTTGTTACGATACGAGCCATTTGTAATAATTTGATTATTTTTGGGCTCATCTATTTTAGTATTTTCATTAAGTAGTTAGTAATTCGTATTATTTGATATATTATTATTGTTTACTTGTCTTAGTAGGATTTGGGATTGTTTTTCTAGCATGTTTAGGATTTGGTTATCTTTTCCTTGTAGGAAAGGTTTCATGTTCTAGATAGGATAAGGTAGAGGCTTCTATGCCTATAAATGTGACTAAGTGAATCTCAGCCCTTCCACCTCATTAAATTCAATGGTCCTGATTAATCTAATTTAATGAAGGACAATGTAGTAATTTAATTTTTATTTACCAATTAAAATAAATAAAAATCCAGCCCCCGATCCGTTCCCTTCTCCGAACGACCTGCGTATTTTTTCCAGAGACTTTCGACCCTTCCCGCCGGTCGATCCTTCTCTCCGGTGGCTGTAATTCGCCGGCGCCATTTTTCCCAAGGAGGGTATCCCTTGAGAATTATCCCCGAGAGAGAGAGAGAGGCCAGTGGGTGTTTTTTGGGAAAGGGAATTTTCCCACGTAAGAGAGAGAGAGAGAGAGAGAGAGAGAGAGAGGCCAGTGGGTGTTTTTTGGGAAAGGGAATTTTCCCACGTAACAGAGAGAGAGAGAGGTTTTCTTGTCAACTTTTTCGGCGACAGTGGAGCAGTTTTCCGGCGACCAAAGACGGTGGTGGATGATTTTCCGGCAACAGTGTTGAATTCGTGATGATTGTCAACCTATATTGTAATGTTTATAAGTTCAGTTTGTATTGTTTATACCAATTCGGTTTGTATCGTTTATCATTCTACTTTGTTATTTTAGTCTGTTGTGTTTGTAATGTTTATATGACTATTTTGTCTATATTATAATTTGTAATGTTTGTTTGAGTAGTTTGTATACCTTATGTTATGATTTGTGCACTTTCTATTCATTGATTTGTAATACAAGTTTACTGATTTGTATTTGTAAGTAGTGTTATTTTGTACTGTTAGTATGTTTTGTAATGTTTGTAAGCTTTGTTATTTTGTAATGTTTGTCAAGTTGTTTTGTAATGTTTGTAAGCTTTGTTATTTTTGTCCAACATATTTGTCATTTTACAAAACATACAAACCATACAAATCACACTCACATTATGTACAAAAATACTAACAATACAAACCGACAACACTTGCATTACAAATCATTGTTCTTCCCTCTCTCTCCACTGTTGTCGCCACCGTCGACTCTCTTTCCACCGCCGCCGCCGCTGACTCTCTCTACTGCCGTTTCCATCTCTCTCTCCATCGCCACCGCCTCTCTCTCCTCCACCGTGCCGACACGCTCTCTCCATTGCCTATCTCTCCTCCACCATTGTCTCTCTCTCTCCTCTATTTTCCGACGATGACGGCTAGATCTGCTCTCTCTCTCTCCAAGCCTGCCGCCTCTGTCGCGATCTCCTTTTCCGCTATCCAACATCGTCGGCGCCGTCGAGGTCTCCATTGTCCTCGTTGCCGTCGAGATCTCCATCATCGGCGGCGTTGGCATCGCCTTTCTCTCCTTTAGCGTAGCGCCGCCGCCTTTCTCTTTCTCTCTCTCTCCTCCTCCGCCATGGCTTTCTCTCTCTCTCTGGACATTGCAAAAAAGGGAAAGGGAAGAGACGTGTTGTAGATGGAAAAAAAGAATTCAATAATAATAAATAAAACAAAATCAAAAATTAGAAGTTAATAATTTATTGATAATGTCAAAAGTACCCTTCTCATTTAATAATAATTAATTGATTTATCTGGACCATCAGATCAATCCAAAGGCTGAGGGGGGCTTAGTCAAGTGACTAAGGACCCCCCCTAGTCACCAGATCCGGACTCTATAAATATGTACTTTGTCTTTCGATTAATGGTATGAGAAGATTGGAACCCAACTAGCTTAGTAGTAGTTCTTTGATCCTCAATATTTCTCTTCGTTCTAAGTCTATTTCTCTTCGTTCTAAAGCCGTTCTCGAGGTCCTTTTTCGATTCGTGAGAGATACGTTGCGTGGAAGTGGTAATCCGCGAAATCCACGTAACAATTGGTATCATAGCCTGGTTGCTCAACAGCCAGGTTCCAGGTTACCAGCACCACCATCGTTCATCGACAGGGTTAATCACCGGAGCACACGATGGGCAAAACCCGAGCCACTAGCGCTGATGAGACGGAAACCGATCCCCTAGTTCGAGTTCAGGCTACGCAGGGACGATTGGAAAACCTCGAAGGGCGGGGTCAACCAACTTGTCGAGCAGTTGAAGGGGGGGGGGGGGATCGAAAGTTGGAGCGCAAAATTGACGGCTTAACTAATTCCGTGGGTTAAAGTCAAGCTCGAACGAACGAGATGGACGCTTGAGCCGAGGAAAGGTACATTGAATTGAAGGAGATGCTTGCGACCCTCCTCGCCGATAGGAAAGCGGCCGCCCACCTAGGGAACAACACCAACGACGACATCGCCGAATCATCGCCTGAGAGACTCGCACGCCTCACTGTCGAGGCGAAGCTAAAGAAACCTATCATCGATCGCGACGAGGTCGAGATCATGGATGAAACTTCACCGCCGACCGGGGAGGCCGGCGGCGGCAGGACGAGCGACATTATGGTCGGTCCGTAGTGGGGGTACATGGCCGGAGCCGGGTTCGATGAAGCAGGACGACTCGCGGGAGGACCTTCCCTTGTATCGGCGGCGCAGACGGGAGACGAGGGAGGCGCTGGGTTGAAGGAGCGAGGCCGACTCGGAGGGTCAGGGATACTGGGCTCAGGACCAGGGAAGATGGGTTCGACACAAAACAAGCTCAATTGGAGTTTCCAAATTTTAATGGAGGCGAGGATCCCTCCGGTTGGTTTGCCCATGTGGAACAATTCTTCAGATTTCACGGAACAAATGAAGACTACAAGGTTCCTCTAGCGTCTTTTCATCTGGAAGGAGACGCGAACTAGTGATGGCAGTTGCTTGATCGAGCTTACATGACGTCTGGCATGGTGATCACTTGGACAAGGTTTTGTGAAGAGTTATGGGGCACGATTTGGCCATCAGAAAGCACCTCTAGTCATGAGGCTCTGGCAAAGGTTAAGCAGACCGGATCCCTAAATGACTATCTCTTGACCTTTGAGAAGTTGGGAAATCGCTGCTATGGTTGGCCGAAGGAGGCTCTGGTAGGGTCATTCGTGGGAGGACTTAAGCTGGAGATCACTGACGCAATTCGAATGTTTCGGCCGACAACGGTAAGAGATGATATTCGCCTTGCTAAGGTGAAAAACGATGAGCTGGCCAAACATCGTAGTCTGCCCCTGAATCCTCCGCCGCGTGCGAATATGGAGGTCGCGCTAGAGACAGGTGCACCGCCGCCGCAACAAGAACCATCACGACACCCCACTGCTCGCAGGATGTCACCGGAAGAAGTTGCACAACGTTGGGCCCAGGGTCTCTGTTTTCATTGTGATGAATGTTTCACAATTGGTCATCGTTGTCCTGACAAGAATGTGTTACTTATGATTGGAGCGTGCAACCACGAAGAGGAGGTTCAGTTCATCCATGAAGATGACCAACCTTGAGGGAAAGGTTGCGCTCAAGGGGGGAGGATTGTTACGATACGAGCCTTTCGTAATAATCTTATCATTTCTGGGCTCATCTATTTTAGTATTTTCATTAATTAGTTAGTAATTCGTATTATTTGATATATTATTATTGTTTACTTGTCTTAGTAGGATTTGGGATTGTTTTTCTAATATGTTTAGGATTTGGTTATCTTTTCCTTGTAGGAAAGGTTTCATGTTCTAGATAGGAAAAGGTAGAGGTTTCTATGCCTATAAATATGTACTTTGTCTTTCGATTAATGGTATGAGAATATTGGAACCCAAGTAGCTTAGTAGTAGTTCTTCGATCCTCAATATTTCTCTTCGTTCTAAAGCCGTTCTCGAGTTCCTTGTTCGATTCGTGAGAGATACGTTACGTGGAAGTGCTAATCTGCGAAATCCACGTAACATCATTCAACGTATCTTTGTTCAAAAAAATATATAAAAAATCAAATACTCCCATTTGAACCATCTTCTAAGCTATTCGAGTTGTGTACTAGAATCGTTGTCCGAAAAACTAAGGTCTTTTAATCGTGTTCAAACAGAAACTAAGTAATTAATTTGACAGTCTAGTTTTCCACACCATATTTTACGACGATGCAGGCAAGTTAGAATGCTTGTGGTGGTGGTGGGTCCGGATAGTATAACAATACCTTAAATATTGTTATACGAACAACATGATTCATTAAGGGTATAACGGTAAACTTACCTAAAATCTAATAAAATTAAAATATATTTAGCCCACTCACCCTTCTTTTTGTCCGATCATGTAACTGGTATATCAATTCTTTCGCCCCTTCCCACAATCTCTCCTCCAGCGCCGACGGCAATCCTCTTTCGGCCGCCCAATTCTCTTCCGCCACCACTCAATCCTCCTCCATCCAAGATGTATCGTCCTCCTTCTGGCGCCGACGCCAATTGATTTATTTCAAAGGCGCAATCTTCAATTCAATTTTGTCTCCCCTCAAATTCGCTATTTAGGCTGTGTAATCGATGATGATTGGACTGACGACAAGAACAGAGACTGAATCGCCGAAAATGGCTAGAACATAGTCTTCTCAGGCGAGGGAACTGCTGTAGCATTCCGAGGAGTGGCTGATGGCGATGTCCATCCACGGCGGCGGCGGGGAAGCAGCTAGATGGGAAGAACAAGTTGAAGCTAGGGTTCCACGTAGTGTCCTCGACAAGAAAGCAAAATGAATGGTGGGAAGCAGGCCGAGGGATTGGCGTCGGGCTGGCTGGCTGGTTGGGGAAGAAGCCAGGCAACGTGGTGGTTGCTTGTTGTTCCAATAAATGGTTTGTTTTCAGGTGATGTTATTGTTTGCTCATTGCTTCCGTTAAGTACTAACTGGCCGTTTGTTTCTTTTTCTTTCTGGTTTTTATTACAGCAAGAGAAGAGAAGAGAAAGGTTTCCAATCCTGTCGGTCGATTGGGAAGAAGAAGAAGAAGAAGGCGGGAGCAGTAGCAAGAGGAGGTCGCTGGATGATGGGTGTTTGTATTGTGTTTGTGAAAGGCTGAATGAGAGCTCTTGGTCTGAGTTATGGTTCTTGGGTGATGGCGTTAGCATAGATGGAGTTTCTAGTTTTGTTATGGTTGGTATGGAAATGTGCGAAGCAGTGATGAGTTTGCATTTACAAGGTGTAATCAGAGAGACTTCGAGAGACAAGGAAAGCAGGAAACCCCAGTTGTAGCTACAGCTGCAAGATTTACCTCTCTGCCGCTCTACTTTTAGTAGTGCATAATTAAGAGCAACTGGTAAATATTAATTCGATGATGAAGGCAAAGGTGGTAATTTTATAATGTTATTTATGGGAAACTGTTAGATTTGGATTGGGATAAAAACTAGATGATCAATAATATACCCTTTTCCCCCACAAAAGGGTTGCGCGCAGTAAAAAATTGGGTTTCCTGCTTTCCTTTTGCTAGACTTATTGTTGGGAAACAGTTCACAGTAGACATGCTTGTATGGGTGGATAACTTCGTTTAAAAAACAAGTGAGAATGCCACTTTATATTGTGCAGGTCTTTACATGGGGTTGATGGAAAAAACAAGTCATTTGCTTGAAAGTAAATATGATGAGAAGGTCCAGTTGTTGCAAGAACTTTTATGCAAATGTTTGAACTTTGACATAGAGAATCGCCCAGATGTGATTGAGATGTGGAAGTGCATTCGGGAGTTTATTATTAGAGGTACGACAAGTAAACTACAAATATTCAATAAGCACACCAGAAACCTCGTAATCCAGACCACAAATATGATAAAACAAATCACAAATATATACCAAAATCCTTCTAATGCAAACCTCAAATCTTCTAAAACATACCAGAAATCTCATAAAGCAAACCACATAATTTTTAAAAGCAAACCAGAAACCTCCTAATGCAGACCACAAACACAGTAAAAAAAAAACCACAAATATTTCTAAAAGCATACCAAAAACCTTCTAATGCAAACCACAAATCACCTAAAACAAACCAGAAAGCTCACAAAACAAACCACAAATATTTCATAATCACACCAGAAACCTTCTAATGCAAACCACACTCAAACCACAAAAAAGCAAACCATAAACGTCCTAATTCAGACCACAAATATATTAAAGCACACCAGAAACCTCCTAATGCAACCACAAACACAGTAAATCAAACCACAAAAAAGCAAACCGGAAACATCCTAATGCAGACCACAAATATATTAAAACAAACCAGAAACCCCTTGATGCAAACCACAAAATTTTTGAAAACAAACCAGAAACTTCTCAATGCAAACCACAACCACGATAAAGCAAACCAGAAACTTCTTAATGCAAACCACAAACATGATAAAGCAAACCACAAAAGGCATACAAAAATATGAGAAACCAAACCATAAATCTCACAATGCATACCATAACATTCGGTGGTCGTTGGTCGTTGACCAAACTCCGATGACCGTCAGTGAGTAGATTCCGGCGTCGATAGGCATATTCCGGCCCCGAAGACTAGATTCTGACACCGGTAAGCATATTCCGGCGACAGTGACATAATCTGATGAGAAAATAGCATATTCCGGCGAAGAAAAACATATTTCGGTGATCGGCGACCCGATTCCGGCGACCAAAATTTTGGGCAAAAAATTATAAAATTATTTTTTTTTTATAATGACAATTATACCCCTGCTTTGATTTTACACTAGGTCAACT